CCGACTTCTTGTTCAGGATTACAGATAGATAATGCGAATAGATCCCCAGCCCCATCTTGTAAACGAGTTCTTGTAGTATTTTATTACTACGGGATCTAAGACTCCGCATCCAAGATTACAGATCACATATATAATGCGAATAGATTGTGTTTTTTTCCCCCCTCTTGTAAACGAGTTGTTGTAGTTTTGTATTACTACAGGACCTACAAACACAGTCCTTTAATGCTTTTTTTTTTTTTTTCGAAACAAGGTTTTTCTGTGGCTTTGGAGGCTGTCCGGGAACTAGTTCTTGTAGGCCAGCCTGGTCTACAAGTGCTGGGATTAAAGGCGTGTGCCACCAACGCCCGGCACCCTTTGATGTTTTTTATAGCATCGAGAGCTATACACACTCACACACCAAACAATCAACAACAAAACCCAATCCATCGAAAACCCAAGAAAACACATCTAGGACACGATAAACTCTGGGTGACTAACAGTAGTAACTATGGTTAGTAGTAACTAACAGTAGTAACTATGATTTATAGTAACTAAGTGTCAGAGGTGCAGTCGGTACACCAACTGTACTAGTAAGGGAAACATGCCATGATTTTAAAAAGTCTGTTTCATCTGAAAATTGAAAGCATGGCTGGTGTTTTTCTTTCTTAAACTGTATGTCCACAAGTTTGATATTTGAAGAGGGAAGACGGGACTAGAAGAGAACACTTTTAGAATCACAATACAGTGATGTGTCTGGATTAAGTAAATAATTCAAGTGAATATAAACTTGCTTACTCTCGTTTTCCTCTTAAATTATTTAAGATTGTACTAATAAAGGACGGATTTTCTAACATAGAAGTTAATCAAAATTTTGCATTCAAACACTTTTTGTGGAACAATCAACTCCACTCTTAAATTTCTGGTTTCCCTCAGGTTGTCGGAACGGAACTGCATTGAGATTGTAAATAAACTGATCTCTCAGAAACAGCTAGAAGTGGTTCATACGCTCGATGGGAAGGAATATATCACTCCTGCCCAAATCAGTAAAGAGATGAGAGATGAACTACATGTCCGAGGTGGTAAGTCCTTCCCTAGTGTTCTTTTGTTTTGTTTTCACTAGAAGTTTGGGGAAATACATTAAAATTGTAACTACATAATCAATTATATGGAGATTACAGGGCATTCTCCTCAATTCTTCTCCCCACTTTGTATTAGGAATCAGACAGCTGCACATGCTAGCAAATGCTACCATTGAGCTGTAACCCTTCTCAAAGGTCAACTTAATCAGCCCTCATAGATTCATGCCGTCAGTCTTCCTAGGCTCACGAAAACATGAGCTCAACTATTTAACATTGTTTAACATCTAACAATGTTTCTGTTGTATTGAATTAAATGTATATGTGTTTTTTTTCTTTTTGTATTAATTTACTTTGTGAACCAAGGGTGGGTACCTACCTGCTAGTAATCAGATGATTAATTGTATATGAAGAATGGAGATTTCATAAGATTGTAAGTTCCCAAATATTAAAGCTCCATTACTATTTTCTTAAAAAAAATCTGTATTTTATAACCTGATGAGGCCCATCAAATTATATGAAATTCAGTTACTCCCAGAAAATATAAAATACTGGGTTGCTTTGTATTTTTAATTGAACAATGACTTTGAACACAGTGTGATTTAAACAAAACCAGCTCTTCATTGGATATTATTAGGGTGTAACCTTGGTGTTTTATTTCCTGTCTTTCTGCAATAGTGTTAATACAAGCTGTGATTTGGGATATTTGACAGAGTCTCTCTTGCTGACGGATAAATGCTTACTTTTCAGTTTCAAGAATGGGGAATTCATCTGAATTTAGTTGCAGATATTTCCTTTGGTCATTTTAGAT